TTGATTCTACTTATGTAATCATCATATTCGAGCGATTTCTTCGACTTAAACCATGTTATGGTTGTATAATTTCTCTATACTTTTGCTTAACATTACATGCCCAAAATATACGTTCAGAATGGCCAGGGTGTTCCTTGCTCAGAGCAACACCAAAAACGTTTAATAGAACGGAATGTGATAAAATGCTACTAAATGTGTTTCACTCTCAAAGAATATTTTTAAATGATGCAATAGATCCCTAGGAAACCATGTTTGTCTCAAGAGCTTACTAATTTGTACCTGATGGTAAGGGTGTGTGCTAGACCACCTGACCACCTGATCCCGTTAGTTGGTTACGACAAGCATACGACAAGCATAGTCGCTTTATACGGCAAGCATGGGTTGCTGAAGACCTATTCTACCCCGGATCTTCACGGGTCGCAACTTGTTAAGGAAACTGACATTGCAAATTCATCACGGTATTTAAGGAAGCAATTGAGAGATACCCAAAGACGGGAAGATCTAAGGTAACACGTGACTTATATACGTCACAATGAAATTAGTTTTCCCAAGTGGACTGATGATAGAAATAAACGCGACAAAAACCCATTATACGCTTTTAGAAGCCAAATAGACTTCCACACCTCTCCACCTGGATGTTAAGGATCCCGTTCAATAAAGCGATGGTGGAGCTCAGATCGTAGCTCCGATACTTTAACATAGATTTACGACAGCCGTAGCGCAAAGATTGCTTTGTGGAACTGCCCCAAGTTCATAATGGTCAGTAATGAACGATTATATTAGACGGTAACACCATTGACCTGTCCTAATATTTCATTCAGCAGTATCCGCTCAGGCAACAATAGCCCTTAAAGATGTGTTCAACATGGGGTAATAATAGATGTTATCGCACCCCTTGTACTGAGGGGTGTATGTAACAGTATCCGCTGGGGTTCAACAACACTTAGGTAAGCCCCTCGGGCACATACTGCTACGTACCCACCATTGATCCGTGAAGGTCACGTTAGGCTTCCATATGAATGTATAATCACCATTATCCGGATCTTCCTTTGTGTAACTACGTTATTGCGCTCCTACGTAGGGGTCGTATCAATATGAATGTACAATCACCGACCATTATCCGGATCTTCCTTTGTGTAACTACGTTATTGCGCTCCTACGTAGGGGTCGTATCAATATGAATGTATAATCACCGAGCATTATCCGGATCTTCCTTTGTGTAACTACGTTATTGCGCTCCTACGTAGGGGTCGTATCAATATGAATGTATAATCACCGTCCATTATCCGGATCTTCCTTTGTGTAACTACGTTATTGCGCTCCTACGTAAGGGTCGTTTCAACATGAATGTACAATCACCGTCCATTATCTGGATCTTCCTTTGTGTAACTACGTTATTGCGCTCCTACGTAGGGGTCGTATCAATATGAATGTATAATCACCGTCCATTATCCGGATCTTCCTTTGTGTAACTACGTTATTGCGCTCCTACGTAAGGGTCGTATCAATATGAATGTATAATCACCGTCCAATATCCGGATCTTCCTTTGTGTAACTACGTTTTTGCGCTCCTACGTAAGGGTCGTAGTAGTACGTTACTTCAACGAATGACGCAAGCCACCACGGACGAGAAAGTTACCATTTACAGGAGACAGCATCATATACCACTCAAAAGAAGTTCAAGAACACCCGATATGACTGTTGATAATCTGTCATGGCTGGTGGGTATTGCAACACACAGCCTTCCAATTGTGGGTGTTCTTTAACTATTTTTGAGGAGTATATTTCATTCATAACATGATTTTGGCCCATTACGTTGGAAGAGATTCTTTTCTTTTGTCACTGATTACAATTAGCGCGCCATGCTAATTCGCACTTCCAGATAAGGAGAGAATGAAAGAAAAACCTACCAGATAAGTTCATAAACACCTTTGTATGGGTTTCATAAACTGGCCAGCGATCGTCCCCCCCTTAAACCAACATTGACAAAGCAATATGGACTTCAATATTAGCGATAACATATGTTGTGGGTGACCTGAATAGTCCTCATTGAGTGCATGCTCGAAGTACAAGCCACTTGATGCTATCGTTGTGCCTGTGACCCTGTGTGTGAAAACAGTGGTTTGATCGGGGGATGATGAGGTACTGCTCGCGTGACTGCACTGTGGCCAAACAACTTGGAATTCTCCTACAACCACACGTGTTATGACCCAAGTTCATGTCAACATCTATCATATCGCTACATTTGTCATTTAAGTATCACTGACAGGTATGTAAAGAAAAAAAATGTAAGCGACAAAGCCATTTCCATAATCATAAGAAATCTCTGCTAAAGCAGAAACCACTGTACGATTCCGAGTACATCATAAGCAGGTGCTAATGGATGAATACCAAATAGTGACGACACCGGGTGTTCTAGAAATGGTGAGCAAACCAGCACCACCGATGGCATCTGTCACAAACACATGCAAGGCAAGTAAATTGTTCATCTGAGAAAAGACGGGAACATATAGTACAAGTCAAAATAGGGAATAACATGGGAATGAGTGAGTATGGTTTTACGCCGCTTTTAGCAATATTCCAGCAATATCACGGCGGGGGACACCAGAAATGGGCTTCACACATTGTACCCATGTCGGGAATCGAACCCGGGTCTTTGGCGTGACGAGCGAACGCTTTAACCACTAGGCTACCCGACCGCCCCGAATAGCATGGGACTTCATTGTGGTCTCTGATGTGTCCAATTTGGAAATGTCCTCCGCATGTCAACCATGAAACCCACTGAAAGCTTTAGTAAGGCCTTGAATGTTGCAGCCTTGATCAAACCATTTTTGAGTAAGAGTCCCCAACGCCACTTTACAGGCTGCAACTTGCTTTATATATTTAGCATTTTCAGGAATAGATCTCTCCCGTGAATAGTGATAAAACAGAGATGGTAGTATCGGTGATTGAAATAGCACAATAACATCGAGATCGTAATTACATTTGTATGGGACAAACAGAGATTGAAATAGCATCGAGAATACGTTCGTTCTTAGTCAGTGTGCGTGCACAGAAACTCCGACGTATTTCTACCTTTTTAAAACAGTTTTGACTAAACTCCGGAGCTAGCGTGACAAACTCCATTCTACCGAAGGTTGTAGGCAACCGACGAGATGTAAAGAGGCACCCGGGTGTGTGTTCTGACGGTAGCTTGTCTTAAAATAGCAGGGAAGGCAGGCATGCGTGTCTCTAACTTGACTGACAACTTTCCTGGGTAAAGTGAATCTGGTCGTATGATAACATGGATCTATAGACAATTTCTGTCTCCTCTCTTTATACTTTATAACGCAGCACATCCCGCAATGTATATGTACATGTAGCAGTCGGTTTGTTCAAAGACTATATACGTCTATATACGTCTTTGGCTGTAGGACACATGGCAAGTGTTGTATGATTATGTCGTTACACTTCAGTGATGGTATGTAATGAAAGGCGATCTAGTTTCGTCGGATTAGATAAACTATAGGACAACTGTGAATCTTAAAGTGTGGGTATTGCGTTGCGTACCCAGCACATAACTGAAGGCGTCGATATTTGTAATTCAAGGGCAATCGATGTATTGGCTATTTTTTATTCGGTACCTAACAAACCACTATTTCATAAATCAAGAATGCAATATTTGTAAGTCCAAGTTAAGTGCTGGAATGGGGCCTTTTAGAGGGTAATAGTGCAGGGAATTAAAGAGTTTCAACTGACGTCAAACATTTGGCACCTCCTGCGCATAAGGTGTAAGACGAACAGGTGCTTCAGTGTTGGTATCGTCTACATCTTATATATGTACATGCATCAATAAGAGTCTGTTTCAATGTTCGTATTTCCTGCAGTAACAGTATGGTGAAGTGCACTTTTATAACTTATTCGGTTATTCGCAAACTGGTTACATCACTTGAATAGAAAAGAACCACAGGTATTGTTATACAAGGAGTCTCAGTTTAAGCTCACGCCCTACACCATGTCCACTTTGCTGCAGCTGTGTAGGTATTCGGGAGAATCAGAGCCTTTGCATTAAAAGTTTCACGCCGATCTTAAAGAACAATAAGGTGATTGTAACGATATTTCATGTGAGAATCTGAGCAGAGAGCAGACATACGCCCTAGCGTGATGGCGGCCATTCCATGGAAGATGGGATATGGTGTCGCATTCACACACCCGTGCGTGTTTCATGACAAACTTCAGAGGTTCTCCCTGACATTGAGCTAAGACATTTACAGAGACTGTGGTTACCGAGCTTAAATCTTCGGATTAGATGAGGCATGTGTTGCACAATGCGTCTGGTCGTTCAGTCTCGCGGTAATTACTTCGGGTAGAATTTCAACAGAAAAGCACAAATTGTGAAACCGGGTGTACAAGAAGATATTAACAAACTTTTTCTGTCGATTCACATTTTAAAAAGAAATCACATTCTTAGGTAGAGGCAATTTGATATTTGATGCTTAAATATTAGAGTAGAATTCCAATAGAAAACGCAAACAGATTATCCTGACATATAAGATATATTTTGAAATAAAAAGGACAGAACCAAACAAAAATTCTGTCGATTCATTTTTAAATTAGATCACACATACGTACTGATGTGTTCATCCTTTAAAACCACGGTTCCAGCATTGATAATATGAACATATACATTCAAACAATATATAAAACGTGTAGAGATACGTCTCATAACCGTTGTAAGTAGCTTCAAATCTACGATTGGTGTTTAAATCAATCTGACACATATCCTTGTATTATAAGAAAGTGAATACAAAGAATGGTATAGGTGAACTGCAGAACTGAGGTTTCTACACGCAGAAACACATGTGGACATTAAATATCATTAACTGTTATATAGACGAGGTTCAATCTTTCGTCGATGTACACTATCTGTGCATATACCTTGATCAATAGTTCTCATGTTCACAATCTGGCTATCGTTTTTCAATAATTAATAGACCTATTTCTACTTGTTTCAACCTTACCTGAAATGATGTCTTCACTGCTATAAACACCACAAGGGCCGAGACCCACAGAGACACGCCTTGCATGGCTGTTGATAGTCCTTGTCTTGTTTCACACAATCATTTACACTTAAATCCAACTATTATCACAATCGAAATGAGCCGACACCGAAAGATTCCCGAAAAAGCTACAACAATTCTGTGTTGTGCCCTGTCCACAGATGTTGTGCAAATGCTCGTCCACAAGCTCCGTCCTGAGTCTACACTGCCCCACCCGACACTGACAGTCAGATACCCGTGTACAGCCGGTTAAGCGTGCGCACTGGGCGAGACGAGAGCCCTCGGGCGTGAGAGAGAATGTAAGACTTTGAAGGCAAAACCGGTAACCTATTTTCAACTGGCAAGCGGGTAGCTTCGAGGATAATTCTACCTGAGAGTCTAGAGTTTCAGAGGGTTATAATAAGGCCCTTAGTGGCACATAGACCGGCACCTGAACTGATTCACTAAACCTGGTAGGACAGGTGGAATTGTCTCCAACTGCCTGATAAGAGATTATATTTATAGAAAGCGTCTCTCGCTAGTGATTGCTTGGATGAACGCTATTCATGTATTCATCCTTTTCACTACATGCTGGGATGGATTTTGTTATAATATTGATTGATGTGGCCTGTTCCGCACGAGTGTGTAAGATTCTACGATTATTCTGTTGCATAAACGAATACGCAAGGACCTAGTCTATATCCTTGCGCAATCCCAGGCTTACGTCAGTAGCCATGCGTGCAGTTACAACCTCTATAGGCCTACAGCAGAGGAACTCAAGACTTGATAAAATAATGTGACCTCGGATATCAATGACTTGTGGTGATAATAAATTAATAATAGGAATACAACGATTTCTTGGAAGACGAAATATAAACATGCATATGAATGTTTAAGATGTCAGGGTCCTGTTATAAAAAAAAAGAGAACGGAGTTTTTATTACATACTGTCTGAATTGTTGCGTTATAAAATATATAAATTAAATCATAATTGGTTAAGTGTTTCCATGCTTATCTTGGGGACTTCGCAATATATTCGATGTATTAGGAGACATTGATATGACACTACCCGCACTTGAATAACATTCACATCAACACTTCTTATATAAAATGGAAATAAAAAGTACGGCATCAACAACTAAAAACGTGTTAAAATAATAACATAATGAAAAGTGGACAAATAATCATCACAGTAAAATTTAATCAACATGTACGTAACAGATTTTCTTTTAAATGAGCATATACGCTCTTGATCGGGGCTATGGACTGTCTGAGAGTCAATATTGACACATGTTCTTACAATCCGACTGTCCATTGTGTGCCGTAAGCCCCCTGTATTGCTGGTATATGGCTACCCGGGGGTCATGCTGGACGCCACAAAAGCCGTCGAGGGGCACAACTACCAAACCAAACGATTTCCTGGAGCCGCAACAAGGGCATTTCGTATATCTCGTTTCAATGTTTATTTTCGGCTCTCATATTTGGATAAGGTATTTGTTACAGTACTGCCAAGCATCCGTGTCCTCTCCCCTTTATAACAGCAAACTATTGAACCATAGGTGCGGATTCTTGGGCAGTTGGAAACTCGTTTGGTTAATTATCAATTAAAGTTTTAGTTTTAAAAGACTTGTTTTATTTGGGTATATTACCTTCGTCTTTTAATGTAGTACCAATTGTAGACCCGACGATGTTATGCTGTGACATTACACACTGATACGAATTACTTTAAGGGAGCCATCAAGCGATTCCCACAGGCTGGAAGCCTTAAAGTACCACGTGACCGAAATAAGGATTCTCTTTCTGCACACGACACCAGTGTTATAACAACCAGTTAGGACTATAGCGTAGAAAAAAACGTGACGTTAAAATTGCACGGTAATATAAGCCTCTTTCGGGGATTAAGCAGCGCTTGGAAAGAGCGCTCGATGATTACGTCTAAATGAATGAAACGTAACAAACGCGTTTATACTAAGTCTTGATGATGGTTTGTGGATGATCACCGTACGTATTATCTTGATACACAGTTGTATTTTAAAGCCACGCGCTAGGGCAACGAGTACTTATGTAAAATGAAAAACTGAACAGTACATGGATGCGTACGGCAGAGGCGAGTGTAATGCTATTCTGTCTATATACCTAGCAAACATGTGCGCGGTCTGCATTCGCTATCCTCCTACTACAGTATTTGTAGCGCTATATTCATCTGACGCAAACACTGTAAGTGTGTTTCAATAACAAGGGGCCTTGCAATACAGATGATTCCGAGTCTGCACTTATATGACACAATATTTACTTTACCCCATGTTTGCTGCTCAGTATGAACGTCAACCCAAATAATTGTGTGTGTTGTGACTGTGTTAAATCCAGATCATAAGACCAGATTTCAGACAAGTTATCTACAGTGATCCGCTACTTCGCCCTGATTCTGACGCTTCGTCAACACCATACCCGTGTTTGTTTTTTGGTGTGTTTTTTTAGGAACGTTGTAAAACTCTTCAACGTCATTTTGCGTTTTCCTGTCACAATCAGCTGACATGCCATGCTATAAGTGAAATACTGTTTAACGCGTTAACCCATCTCACTCACTCAATGTTTGATTTGAGTGAGTGAGTGAGTGAGTGAGTGAGTGAGTGAGTGAGTTGGGTTTAACGCCGCTTTTAACAATATTCCAGTTATATCACAGCGTGCCAGCTTAATGTGGGAGGAAAGCCCGAAGTGATGCAGGTCTCAGACGTTTACCACTTCGGTCAAACCCACGAACACGGGTATGGTGCTGACAAACCTAGATACATAATCGGGGCAAACGGGGATTCGAACCCACAATCATAGTCTTCTGACGTGCCCAAGGGACGCAATTCGGCACAGCGAATAGCGGCGCCTTAGACGACTGGGCCACCCGTGCTCCCTTTGATTTGAAGAACATGGATGTTTGCTCACATGGACATATACATCTGCCATACCACATCTATATGTAGACTTGGGTGGATTCTGGGTTAGAATAACTGTAGGTCCCCAGCAACCCATGCTGGTCGTATGAAGCGACTTGGATCAGGTGGTCAGGCTCGGTGACTTGGTTGATAGCATGTCGTCGTTTCCTAGTGGTGTGGCACGTGTTACGTAATATCAATCACTGGTTTGTCTGGTCCAGACTTGACTTTTTAAAATATAAAGAACTAGTAAACAAAACAAAATGTCTATCTTTGTTTGATTTGCAGATGTTGTAAATACACACGAAACGGTTCCATGTGTTGAATATAAATGTATTGACATATAATGACATACAAGTATATTGATGTATATCCGTGGAGTAGTTATAGTGAGTGAGTGAGTATGGTTTTACGCCGCTTTTAGCAATATTCCAGCAATATCACGGCGGGGGACACCAGAAATGGGCTTCACACATTGTACCCATGTCAAGAATCGAACCCGGGTCTTCGGCGTGACGAGCGAACGCTTTAACCACTAGGCTACCCGACCGCCCCTGGAGTAGTTATAGAGTGAGTGAGCAAAGTATTCCAGTTACATCACGGCGTGTCAGCTTGATGTGTGTGTGTGTGTGTGTGTGGGGGGGGGGGGGGGGGGGGGGGGGGGGGGGGGGCGGGGGGGGGGGGGGGGGTGATGCAGGACTGAGACAATTACCGCTTTAGTGGGACCAACAAAGCAAGGTTATGGTGCTGACAGACCTGGAAACATAATCGGAGTGAACCAGGATTCGAACCCACGATAATAGGTTTCTAGAATGCCCAAGGGACACAACTCAGAATAGCGACGACGACAAAGACTGGGCCACGGTGTCCCCACTGGTTGGTGAGGAAATACTAAATTCAAATACAGGAAATCGAATATCTGATATACACTCGAGCTGGTTTATGAGTGCCTATACTCGATCAGATTATTATTAATAAACTGATGATATCTTAACATGATTTTAAGTAGGCGCTCTGAGTTAGCAACGTGATCTGAAGTGTAAATAAGTTCAGCTTAAGACGCAGTTGGGTCTCCCCTCGCAACCACACCCCACACTCCCCCAACACAGGTTTGCCTGTTTCACAACTCGCCGCCTATAGCAAGGTCAAGGGTGAGAGGTCTGTGCTATGGCTGTACAATAGGGACAACGCCCAGTCAGGACCATTATCGAACAAGAAGCATTCTCGTCCCAGAATACACCTCGCCCACACCATGACGTACTAGGTGTTCCCTTGGTATTTGAAACAAGTGATGCATGGCGTCGTATCTGGTTCGCCCATCATTGTGATACATACGGATGCTGGCGGCTTAACCAACGCATATAAACATACAGGTGTACAAAAGTAATTTCAAAAGACTACATAAACACGATAAACAAAAATAAATATAGTTGTATCTTCAGGATTTAAAGCACCGATATCCTGACGTCACACGGTATTTTACACAGATGATCTTAGTAAATTAACCTGGTCATAAAAATTTATACTGATGTGATTTTAAAAAATCTGGGATACGCTCAAAATTCAATCAAAACAAAGATAAAGAGCAACTATTAGTGTCATGTTAGTTTTATTGAATGGCAAAAAGGCCGTGAATCTCGTGAAATATTTCTGTAATTCTATTTTAACTGGACAATATGTGACCCTTTTCTTAATTTATCTTACCGTGCAATACCTAAGCATGGAGCATGACTGATCGACACGAATACCATCATCCATCAAATATGTTTTGGTTAAAGTGTTAGGGGAAAGCTGGTTTAGTTGCCCGAACCCTATGATTGTAGGTTCGAATCCCGGTTCGTCCCGATTATGTTTCTAGGTTTGTCGGCACCATACCCGTGCTCGTTGGTTTCACCCAAGTGGTAAACGTCTGAGACCTGCATCACTTCGGGCTTTCATCCATCTTTAAGCAGACACGCCGCGATGTAACTGTAATACTGTTAAAAGTGACGTTAAACCCAACTCAGTCACTATAAACTATCGACTAGTATTTAGCAAATCGGTGATTATCACAGAGTCCAAGTATATCTCAGGTAAACACTGTCTGCAAGGAGACGAATGAATGAACTGCCCACACCGGTACGTTACATTAAACACACATAACCTAACCATCAAGACAAGACCATCTCCTCAACACACATTATCAAGCAGGGCCTTATAAGACTTTTTTCTTTAAAACATTAACGTACATATATGTTATTAAAGTTTTAATTTTATATCATAATAATACCCTCCCACACTGCAACACGCATATACTTAAACAAACTGAAGATTAAAAACAAAATATAACAAAATTAACATAACCCGTGTCCTTATATTCTAATCAGCCCTATGTAAAGCTTTGACAAAAAAATTACAAACGTTTCCAAAATATTACTAAGCTGAAATTGTCGGCGAAACGCTGCAAATCTAAGGTCCACAACACAACTATAATACCGTATGATACCCATCAACATTGAATAACCATTTCTTGTTTGTTTCAATTTTAGCCGCTATCAAACACG